TCCCCCCCCCTCCCGATAGGCACATACCTTAGTTATCACACTTCTCAGGCACATTTCCTGGTCTGCAGCCAGCACCGGCCCTGGAACTGCACCCTTGCCCGCAAGACATTTTGGGGCACCCCTTGACCCCCTGATTCTCTGCCATATTGTGCATCCGACTGGCCCCCAAGCACAAGTGGAAGCACAGCAAAGTGGTGTGTGTGTGTGTGTGTGTGTGTGTGTGTGTGTGTGTGTGAGAGAGAGAGAGAGAGAGAGAGAGAGAGAGAGAGAGAGAGAGAGAGAGAGAGAGAGGTCTTCTCAAGGCCTCTTGCAGGCAGCATCTGGATTTTCAGACTGCGCCATCCCCATTCTGGCCCTTTCTCCCGTTGCCAGGAGAGTCCGGCCGCACTCCTGACCTTGTTGCCCCAAAGGTTGCACAGGGCAGAACTCGCTCACACCAAGTGCACACGCAAACAGGACGCTGGGATCGGCACTCCCTTCCTTATCCCGATCTCTCCCTTGCATTATTTGATTTATTAGAACAGCAGAACAGCCCAAGTTCTCTGTGGAGATAAAGACCCCCTCCACCCCGGCCCCATGAGGAGACATGGAAGAGCCCGGCAGGTTCAGCTTGGGAAGAGGACACTCCGGGGGGAAGGAAAGCACCTGCGAGTACTTGGAAGGCAGTGGGATCTTGGTTCTCCCGGAGTGCAAGACACCAAGTAACGGGCTCACGTTACAGACATCGGGAAGAACTTCCTGCAGGGACCACAGAGTCACAGAATCAAGGAATCCCAGGAAGGGGCCAAGGCCATCAGGTCCACCCCCTGCTGTTGCAGGACACCACGTGACCCCCCCCCCCCCCCAGAGGGCTGCCCAGTTTCTTCTTGAATGTCTCCAGCGTGGGAGAGCCCCCCGCCTCTCCAGGCAGCTGGTCCCACTGTCGCACTGCTCTGACCATGAGGAAACTTTTCCTGATTTTCACTTGGAATCCAGGATGTCACAACTTGAGTCAATTCTTCCATGCCCTGCACTCTGGAATCAGCGAGATCTTGACCTCCCTCTTTGTGGCAGCCTTTGAGGGACTTCTAGAGGGGTATCATGTTCCCCCTCAGCCTTCTCTTCTCAAGGCTGAACATGCCCAATTCTCTCAGTCTTCCCTCACAAGGCGGCGTTTCCAAACCCTGGGTCATTTCTGTTGCCCTCCGCTGGACCCTTTCTAATTTTCCTGCATCTTTCTTAAATCTTGGTGCTTAGAACTGGACACAGTATCCCAGGCGAGGTCTGACTAGTGAAGTCTCGAGGAACGACGACTCCTTGTGCTTTGGAAGCAATACTTCCGTTAATGCATCCCAAAACAGTATTTGCCATTTTGACAACTGCGTCACATTCATGACTCGTATTTAGCCCGTTGTCCACAGTAACGTCCAGGCCTCGTTCAGTCCTGCTGGGCCACGTATTCCCCACCTTGCATCCATGCATCCAGCCTCTTTTTCCCAGGTGGAGGGCTTGGCACTTGGACGACAGTGGAACCAGCTGCCCAGAGAGGCTGAAGGCTCTCCCACATGGCAGGCATTCAAGGTGCGGCTGGGCAGCATCTGAGAGGGATGCTGGAACTGGGAGTCCTGCCCTGAGCAGGGGGTTGGACCAGTGCCCTCTGGGCCCTTCCAATCTGCTGTTCTAGGATTCCTCGCTTCTATGACTCCATTGCTCGAACATGAGGAGGTTCCAACCTGAGCCGCTTATTCCAAGCCCTGCACTCGGGGAAGATTGAGAGGAGAGGGGAGAGACAGGGCGCGAACACGTCCCCCAAGCCTCCTGAAGCTGCCCAGCCCTTAAAGAAACCTGTCCCCTTCCTCAGATCCTCACTGCATCATTGCCAGTGCCCTCGGTCAAAACCTGGCATGCTCACGTCACCTCCACTCGAGGAGTCGCGGGGCACAGGCACGCGAAGGTGGAACTGCTAGTCCAGGCAGCCGTCCCCGACCCAGTCCTGGCTGAGTGTCCGTGCCACCGGGACGGCCCAGGCAGGTGCCAATCAACACACACGGGAGCCAACCTGGGTTCTTTCCCTCCTAACTGCTTGGATTCTATGCTTCTTTATTTGATTTAAATAGAGCCCATTAGCCAAACAACTGTAGAATCAAACGAGGAAAAGTCATTCTCCACTTCCGCTGTCCGCCAGGCTGCCACTGGGGCCAGCAACGTCCCCCCACTCAGGCCAGGGTGGGAACGGAACAGAACGGAATGCACCGGATGCTCCGGGACCTGTTGGCACAGCCGTCTGTGCAGCCAGCGAAGGTGCTGCAGGGACGGGAGGAGCCGCATTGCCGGCCCCCCCGCCCTCCCCGGCCCATCGCTCCGCGAGCAGAGTGTCTGGCGAAGCACCTCCGTCCGTCGCGGCGGGCGGGCGCTGACGGACACCCCCGCCGGGGCCGGTCACATGGCCACCAGCTGGCCCAGCGCCATCCGGAACTGCTGCGTGCTGCTGGCCAGCTCATGGACCCGCTCCACCATGTCTTTGGCAGCCGCGGGGGAGGGGTAGTGGAGCGCGGCACTCTTGGTGGTGGCCACCACCTCCCGGAGGAGGTCGCACAGCAGGTTGCTGTAGTGCGTGACCTTGTGGCGCACCTCCGGGGCCTTGGCCTGGCGCGCGAGTGTGTCCCCGATGAAGACCAGCTTGTGGGCGCTCAGGATGACGAACTTGCTGTGCGCCACGAAGATCTTGGGGGGCTGGTTGGTGCTCACGGCCGTGAAGAAGGCGTCCACGGCATTGGTCAGCGTGGTCAGGTTGGCCTCACACTGCTCCAGGTAGAAGAGCAGCAGCTGCCGGTCGGAGGGGCCCAGCGAGGAGCCCCCCCACCCAGGGGCGCAGTGCGGCGGGGGCGTCCAGCTGGACAGGTCGTGGTCGATCGGCCGCGCGACTTCCTGCTCCAGGCGCTCAAACTGCTTCAGCTGTGGATGGACAGAGGGACCGCCGGAAGGAAGGAAGGAAGGAAGGAAGGAAGGAAGGAAGGAAGGAAGGAAGGAAGGAAGGAAGGAAGGAAGGAAGGAAGGGGGAGGGAGGGAGGGAGGGGGGAGGGAAAGAAAAGAGGAGGGAGGGAGGGAGAATAAAAGAACCCTTCAGCACATAACCATCAGAAAAGCCAAAGCGAATCGGCCAAAAGCCCTATCTGGACCAGCACTCTGTTCACCCAGTGGCCCACCAGCTCCTTGTGGGGGGTGGGGGAGCCCTCAAGTGTTAGTTATTAGATTTCTATTCTGCCCGTTCGCCAAACTGACACCCGGGGCAACAGCATCTACCCACCCCATTCCACCGCAGCGGGTGTACACGGGCCCACGGACTCCAATGCTGGACGCAATCGTTGGCCATGAGGACGAGCAGCCCCAGCTGCCTTCTCCTCCGTCAATTTGTCCCGCGCCCCTTTAATGCCATTCAAACTGGTGCTCCAGCCTTGCGGAAGTGAATGTGTAAACTAGAGTCCTTCCTTTTATTGGCCCCAAATCTCCCACCCAGCAGCTTTGCCACCTCGCATTATGAACTGGCATTGGGTTCTGGGATCACGCGCCACCGTACACTACGCATAATTTTGCGCACGTCCATCATGTCTCCCTGTCTTCCCTGTGGGTTAAACTGTTCCAGATGGTGCCGTCGTTCCTCATCATGGCACCACTCCAGCCCCCGGATCACTCGCTTGCCCTGTTGCGCAACTCGTCCAGTTCCGCCATATCCATTTTGAGATGCGCAAGCAGAACCACTCGCAGTGTCCCAGCTGTGGCCGCACGAGGGACTTCTGTCAGGGCAACACGACTCTGGCCCGCTATTTGCACCCCTTTCCTCATCATCCCTAGCGCGGAGCTGGCCTTTTCCACCACAGCCACTGCTGGGTCTGTGACGCCGTGAGGAGGAGGCCGTTCGCGGCTGCAGGGGAGGCGGGAGGCGGCTGGTGGTGGGGGCTCGCGGGGAGGGGGCCGCCTGGCAGCGGTGCAAACAGATCCCTCTTTCTGCGCCACACGCAGCTGGGGAAAACCCATGGGCATCCACTGGCTTCCTCTCCGTTCTCTTCTGGAGTCCAAGCCAAGCACAAGCAGGCACTTAGAGGGAGGGATCCTGAGAAGGCCTGTCCCGGCCCGAACAGGGAAAACTCCACCCCACGCTCAAGCAGCAGGCTGCAGGGAGGGTCTCTGCGGATCCGCGCTGCGGGGACTGCTTCTCCAGCTGCTCACAACTAGGCAGCTCTTTGCTGACGAGCAGCTGGCAATGCGGAAGCAGTCCTTGCTGTGGGCTGGGGTGCTCTTACCCGGGAGGGCTGCTGAACGGGGGCAGCTCACTCTAACCTTGGTACCTTCAGGCCTGGCTCAGAAAGACTGGCAAAAGCTGCCATCTCTTAGCACAGGCAGAACGACGTGGACCAAGGTTTGGACTTGGTCTACGAAGCTCTCTCCATTCTTGCTTAAATTGGTGGTTTTATTCAAAAGCTTGAGGACTAGAATCTGTCCTCAGGAGAGGGACAACAGGCCCACAGTAGAGTGTGCAGTAGTTCCCAGACCCAACTCCAACCCTGGAAAGCTGCTGCTGTCAGCCCGTGTAGGCCACACTGAGCTCGATATGCCGTCAGTTGCTATAGTCTCCCCTCCCTGCACTGGCCGATCAGGGCTGCCCGTGACGAGGCTGCAGCTTCTCGCGCGCCCTCCCACTCTGGCCTGCCCCCTCACTTCTCTCTCCCCACACTCGTCCGGCCACGCGTGGGGCAACGGAGCGCAGCGTCGCTCCTGTGGGGGGCTGCCTCCGCCTGTGACGCTGGCGTTTACCCCCAGGCAGGGTCCGGTGCCACGCACCCCGCCGGAGGGCGTTATGAGGACGTGCCGCCATTCTGCCACATCGTCCTTCGGGAAGCAGGACGCGCCGCAGGCGCCCAAGGCGGAAGCCCAGCCGCCGAAATGAGGCACGGCACGGCACCGTCTCCCGGCCTTTTGCTCAGCTCCTTCCAGGATACGGAAAGAGGCCGTCTCACGATGCAAAGCGGCATCCGTTCCGCAAAGCAAGCTGATGCTGCGGCACTGCCTTTCTGCACTGGAAGCTCGGCTCCTTCTTGCAGGACGCCATGGGCAACCCAGCTCCTTCCGGACGGGCACAGGGGACGGAAACGGTGCTCGTGGCAAGAACGGCCCGCTGAGCCCGCCCTACCGACCTGCTGCTGCTCTAGCTGTCCCTTGCCCTGCCGAATGACGTTGCCTTTCTCGAGCAATTCCTTCTGGGTCTTCTCAAACTCCTCCTTGCCCTAGTTTCAAAAGGATGAAATTGGGTTAGTGGCAGTACATCCAGAAGACTGCAGGGAGGGGGCCCCGCAGCTCAGGAAACCCGGGTCCTCCTTGGGACCCTGCACCCAAGAACAGCATCCACGACCCAAGAAGGGGCAGGGACGGCTCCTGGCTCAGCGCTGCCATGACTGGACCCCAAGCTGGGTCAGGCTTTGCCGGCCTCAGAAATACCCCTCAAGCTACCCACACGACATCCCCCTCTTGACACTCGCGTGCTGCCTTTATTCAGCCAACCAAAGGATCACAAAAATGCAGAAGTTATAAAAAGCAGGTCGGGGGCAGGCTGGCAATGGTGGCAGGAGCCGACCGGATGGCAAAGTCACAGTTCTGGCTCTGCGCAACGCGACGGCTACAGGCGAACACGCAGGGTCCCTTGGATTCCTGGGAACCAGAAACGAATAAAGGCTGGATCTCCCCACCTTAAGATTACTCCCTCCTGTTCTCTCTTGCCTTGCTTACCAGGTTTTGAGAAAACCTTGCCTTTTTCAGAGATCAGCCCATCTCACAAGCCTGGACCACGTGGTCGGCTGAATAAAAGTAGAGCACAGATGCAGATGCTGCAAGCTGTGTTGCTGTCGCCGCGGAACAAGAAGTCTCTCGGAGAGGCGGTTTCCCGGCACGGGCATCTTCCAGTGCACATGCCTGGGGCACTGCCTTCCCCATGGAAGCCAGCTCCCAAAGGACAGGCCCGATCCTGCCCCATGTCCAAGCCCCGAAGGGTCTCAAGCCGTCTGCTTTGAAGCTGGGACCCTATGGGCACACATAGTGCCCACCCAAGAAAGGCACTCGCTGCCTCACTGCCTAATGGAGGGAGGTCATTAGGAATAACTGCCCCCCCCCCCGGATGATCACAGCCTCCCAGTTCTTGACCAGTCTCCCCATTTCTGCAACTGGGACATGTGGCAAAGCCCAGCAGGCTTCCCGAGTCCCAGCAAACTGCGCTTTCAGGAATTTGCTCAAACGCGATGCTGGCAAATCAGGGGCGTTCCAGGGCTGGACCGAAAGGCTCAGGACTGCGGATGTCCGAGGAGGCAGTGGGCCAGGTGCCTGCTCCTCGGGACCAGGTAGAGCTGCCAGGAGAGGTGTGTGGGGAAGCCCCATTTCTCTTTTCTTCCCACAGCCTGCGTGGCCAGGAGGCAGAGGACTGACTGGCCGACAGGGGCAGGCCGTGGCTCGGCTCGCCCGGCACAGCGCGCCCCAAACTGGAGGCGCCCTGCTGGTTGCAGACCGCGCCTGCACACGCAAGGGCCGCTGTGCCTCTGGAGACCCCTGCACGGCACCGAGACGGGAGCAACCGTACGAACTCGGCCTTCGTGGCACCGGGTGAGAATACGCACAGGCACACACAGAGAAACCGTTTGACTGCAGCCTCCGCCTCCGGAAGTGGCGATCTGCTCTCTCGCTCTGGTTTTTGAAAATGCCCCTAGTTTGCTCTCCTGATCTATATCCGGCTTTAATAAAAACGACCACGGCGCTCGCTGTCTCTGGGGGGAGTGGACCCTCAGAAGTGCTCCGGGTGGTAACGTGGGGAGAGAGGCCTGCGGCGGGTCGCCCCCCGGACGCCCCCCCCCGGGCCCCAGCCCCACCTGCAAGTGCACGTAGTCGTAGTCCTCCATCCAGCCGCCCTCGCTGCTCTCGCACAGCCCCTCGGGCGAGTCCTGGGCCAGGAACTTGGGTGGGGAGGGCAGTGGCCGGGACTGGATGCTGCTGGCCTTCTCCGGGGCGGCGCCCTCCCCGGGGGGCGCCTTGGCCCGCCTGAAGAGCAGCGAGGCGTTGCCGTGCAGGAAGGAGGCGAGCTGCTTGGTGTCGTCGGGGACCCCCCGCGAGTGCATGACCAGCTGCTCCAGGTCCTCCGGGGAGCCGGGGGCCCAGCCGCAGCCGTCCAGCGCCTGGCTGTGCCGCACCAGCGCCTGGCGCACCTCCTCCATCTTCTGCACCTGCTTGCTGAGCTTGGCGTGCAGCGAGCGGTCCGAGGCCTGGGCGGCGCTGCCCACGACGCCCCGGGCGAACTCCAGCAGCTCGGCCAGCGCCCCCTGGACGCCCTCGGCCGCCCCCCGCAGGAGCGGCGCCTGCGCCTCCAGCTGCTCGGGGCTGCGCCAGCTGCCGCCGACGAAGGACATGAGGTAGGAGACGGCCGCGCTGACGCCGCCCTGCAGCCGGGCCAGCGCCTCCATGGCGGCCTCCTGCTCCAGCCGCGGGCCCCTCTCGGCGGCCTCCTTGGCGGGCCCCGCGTCCAGCGAGGAGCAGGAGCGGGCGCTGCCCGTGCTGGAGGCCGAGAGCCGCTTGCCATCGCCCGCCCGGCCCTCGCGGTCCGCCTGGGGGGGCACGTCGTAGATGTAGTCGCCCCCGCCGTCCTTGCGGCCCGCGGGCAGCTCCCGCGGCACGTCGTACACCTCCTGGCCGGCCAGCTTCCGCAGCCCCGGCGGCACGTCGTAGATCTCCTGGCCCTCGGGGGCGCCCTGGCTGGCGGGCGGGGGCACGTCGTACACGTCCTCGGGCGGCCGCAGCTCCGGCGGCGGCCCCGCCGGCTGCGCCAGGATGAGCGGGTGCCGCGAGGGGTCGAAGGGCTTGGCCGCGCAGAAGGCGGGGGGCACGTCGTACGTCTCCTCCCGGGCCGGGCCCTCTGGGCCGTCCTTGCCGACGGACGGGGGCGTGTCGTACACCTGCAGGGCGGAAGCACAGCCAGAGTCAGCGCTGCCCCGGCCTGCCGCCGGGAGAGCGCGGAAGGGGAAGCGCTCCCGAAAGCCGACTGCTCTTGGAGCGGCAGGAAGGCCGGCAAAGGACAAGCCGCCTGCAGAGGCTGACGGACGGACGGACGGACGGATGGGGAGCGCAGCCTGCCCCACACTTTCACGCTGTGCATCTCTCCCAGGTAGGTGAGGAAAAGCTGCACAGATTTGCCTGTTGCCCCATTTATTCCCAATTTTGGTAGCCTCCACTAAAAGCTGGTATGGCTTTGAAAGGGGGGTTAGAAAAGCTCAAAGAAGATTCTAACTAGATGATTTATTAGTGACTACAAAGATCCCCCAGATGGAATAATCAGTGGCTGGATTGTGTGCACCAGCCCCGGATCCTGGGCAGTTTATACCTTTGGGGACTGACAGACTAAATAAATAAACCTCCATGTACTTTGGATGGCCTCGGCCTTCCATAACTAGGTGCCTTCCCAGGCATGTGGAACTGCAGCTCCCATTATCCTCAGCCAATGCAGGCTGATGGGAAGGGCACCGGACGCAGCAGAGTTCCTCCGCGTGGACAGCCCCGCCTGCTTCTCGAGATGAAGCTGGGCCGGCCGGTCTCGTCTCGGCACTTGTTCTGGGTCAGCCATGAGGACGGGGCGGAGCAGAGCGGCTTGCCCAGTGCGTTCCGCGGCTGCAGCCCGGCAGAGCACGCAGGGGCCGACCCCGAGCTTCCCGGCCCCCCGCCACCCCCGGGGTGCCTCGCAGCCTCCGCCCCGGGAGCCCCGCGCCCCCACTCACCGCCTGCAGGCCCTTTTCCACGCTGGGGGGCACGTCGTAGATCTCCTGGTCGTGGCTCGGCTCCCGGCTCTTGGGGCCCTTCGCTGCCATGGCGGGGGTGTCGTACACCTTGCAAGAGGGAGGGAGGGAAGGCGGGTTGGCGCTCCTTCCCACCGTGGCACCTGGGCCTGCTCGTCTTCCCCAGGGAGCCGGGTGCTGCTTCGCGGGGGCTCCGGCCAGGCTGCAAGCCCCGGCCACGAGCTGGGCGCCGCATGCAGAACCAACGCCGGGGCACACAGCCTCGTGCCGGGGTCTGGATGCGGGACTCGGGCTAACTCAGCCCGCCGGCCGACCACGCTGGGCCCGCGCGCCCTGCAAGGACTGAAAGTGGCTCGCGCCCATTTTAATGGGGTGAATGCGAGCCTTCTTGGGGGTTCCTTTGATGCCAGCACACAGGGAAGGAAGGAAGGGGGGAAGGAAGGGGGGAAGGAAGGGGGGAAGGGAGCAGGGAGGGAAGACAGATGGTCGGAGGGACAGAGAGAGAGAGAGGAAAGAAGGACGGAAGGACAGACAGGCAGACAGGTGGGGGGGAGAAGCAAGCAAGCAATGAATGAGGCCGTTGGCCCTGAAAGAGGCGATTCAAATCCTGAAAGGGCAGAATTTGCAGACCAGGCCAAGTCCTGCGGCAGGGAGGGGCGTCCCAGGCGGGAACGCTCTCCAGCGTGAGCTGCCTCCATGCAAGGAGAAATCCAGCACGCAGGGACCAACACGGCCCGGGGTGCTCCGGAGCTAGGCTGGGGCTCCTCTCTCGACAAGGAGGGTCCCCCGCTGGAAGCTCTTGGGCTGGGGCAGGGCAGCCCTTCCCCCTCCTTCCCCTCCCCTCCCCAGCCCGCCCTCCCCCCGGCCCCACACTCACCTCCTGGCTGCCCTGGTTCAGCAGCAGGCCCCGTGTCGGCGGCACGTCGTAGATCTCCTGGAGGTGCCGGGGCACATCATATTCGCCCCGCTCGCCTTTGGGCGAGTCGTAGACGTACACCTGCCCCACCCGCGTGGGAACCACCACCTGGAGGGAAGAGGGCGAGGATGCAGCGAACTGGCCAGGCGAGGCGGGCGCAAAGCCCGGAGGACCTCCCCGCCCGGCCGCCCACTCCCACCAGCATGGCCTTCGCGGGGGCTTCCCAGCTTTTGTGCAGGGCCAAGCAGTCCAGCTCCGGCAAGGCTGCCGGGAGGCAACGGGTTAACGAGCGTCGCCTGGAGGGGCTATCGTGGCTGGCATCCTGGCGCTGAAAAGCCAGCTTCCTCTGGGGCACGCCATCCGCAGGCTGCCGGCCACAAACAGCCCATCCGGCGCGTCGGCCACACTTAGCCAGGACCGTGGCCAAGACGTCAGGAGAAACACACACGGCGACCGTGGGGAGAGCCGGCCTTCTGTGTGTACAACCTACAGGAAACAAGCGTGTGCAGGTCAGCGGGAAACCTACACAGCGCACGGCTCAAACAAATGGGTGCTTGGAGCGCCTCCTCATTCGTTTCGTCTACCCCTTGGGACAGAGGGTCTGTTTAGAAAGTGGTGCACAGATTTCTTAAACAGAAAAAAACATCCTGGTTAATTTTATTGCCTTTGTCTTCCCAGACACAGCGCTCCCCATTTTGTTGGCAGCCTCGTCATCCCCCAATTCTGAAATTGTCGGTGTGCCTCAGTTATTGCTGCTTCGGTTAATCTGGATGTTCCAATTAATAAACTGCAGGATAATTTTGATGGAAAGAGTGTCTGATCCCTCCGTTCTTGGCCACGGTGTCCACTAGCTGTTTTAATCTGCGGTGCTGATACGATGCGCCAGAGTTGTGACCAGCCACCCGCTGATGGACACGTATCACCTCGTTATTCCCAGATGCCTGCCACAGGCTTCCTCCTGCCGAGGAGTCCCTTTGAGACCTCTGGCTCTTGCCAGGGCCTGTGGGCGTGGGGAGTCGGGGGCGCTGCTTGTCCTTCGGGAGACGGCAGCGGGGAGTCGAGTCGGGCTGCACGGATCGGCCAGGCCAGCGACAGCAGGGGGGCCTCCCACCAACACGCCAGGAAGACTGTCCCACAACCGCCCTCTGCGTTTTATGGCCAAGCAGGAATCTGAACATTCCCGAAAAACCAGGAATTGTCTTTCAGGGGGCGGACCCCGTGCGATGCAGCCTTCCCCCACTGGGTGAGTGTTGCTGGAACCCACCCGCATCAGTGTCCCCAGCTGGGTAGCTGTGAGGCCACATTCAGCTTCAGTGAGGTTTGTTCTGAGACTCTTTCAAGGCGTGTGCCTATTTCGCGACGGCTGATTTACACGAATGTGGGGTGGTGAAATTTCGTTCAGCCGCGTGCTCAGCAGTTTTGACCGCAAACAGCATTGACCCTTGTGCCCCACGCTCCCTTCTCGCCTGATCTCACCCTGTGCATCTTTTTCATTTCCCCGGATGAAAAAAGTCCTCAAAGGGAAACGGTTTGCCAATGTGACAGAGGCGAAACAAAAAGCGACAGAAGCACTAAAAGGCATCAAAACGGACACGTTCAAAACCTGTTTTGAGCAGTGGAAAAAATGTCACACAGGTGTATTGCATCAAACGGAGAGTGCTTTGAAGGTGACTGAAGTCTGAACATCTAAAAATAAATGCATGATTTTTTCCAAATAAATTCCTGTTTTTTGGGGGTCCCCCCTTGTAGCTCAGCTCACATCCTGCTCTGCACATGTAATCCACCCCGCCAGATCGCCTCGTCTGCTCCTAGGCTTTCTCATGATCCAGCATTGCTAAGCGGCTTTCCCAAGCTGGAGAGATGGAACTGGGAACCTGGCTTGCTTTAAAAACCGCTCTTAAATATTCTTGAAGGGGTGCAGGCAGACTCTTCCCCTGCAGGGGGCACTGCTCACCCACGAGCCGCCCCTGGCTGGGCGGGCGGACCACCTTGCAGCTGGAGCTGGTCTCGCCTCGTCTGGGGAGGCAGGGATGACATCACACTCTATTTCTGGATCGGGCACGAGAGGCCTGGGGATGCAGCACCGTAAGCGCTCGCTGCCCGTGGGCGGCCGCTTCTGCAGAGAGGCGAGGGGCCCGGGAAGCCGGAGCGGCCCTCCTGCAAGTGCAGATCGCAGCCAGGCCGGTGTCCTCCCAGCTGCAGTTCTGCACACATGGGCTCAGTCCAGAAGTAACTCTGGAGGGCCACGAAGGGCTCTGTGAATGCATCCGTGCCAATGCCTCCTCTGGCTGGCCACACTGGCCCGGGCAGGCCTGTGGCATCCGTGTGCCAGGCCGCCAAGGGACAGACGCTCCAGTCCCCGGAACGAAAGAAATGCAGAGAAGCATCACTGGAAAAGAGAGCCCCGATTTGCATAATTTGGGCACGTGCTCGTCTGCACAAGCAATCGGCATAATTAAAACAGAAACGCAGCTCATCTCAGCAGTGTGGACATCTGCAGTGCTGTCCCGATGGCCGGATAACTTTCCGCCGGGACGACCCGTCCAACGGCAGACTCCAAAGGAGTGTCCGGAGTCCGCTCTAATTTGCTTCCTTGGGATCACTCCGCAGGGAAGGTGGCCAGAGGATGCAGAGGAAATCCTGGCAGGGGTACGCCCCCCACCGCCCCTTCCTTCCCAGCACCGGGGGATTGGGGCTACGAGGCGTAAGCTGAAGATGGTGCCGATGCCCACGGGCAAGAGGGTGGCATGGGGGCAGCCATGTTTTGGAAGCAGCACCTCCCTTCCTTAAGAATGGGGAGGACCAACTGCTGTGTGAAGCAGCATCTCGGGGAAGGGAGCTTTGGGAGCAAGCTAGTGCCTACCATATGGCTGGGCTGGCTGGGAATGATAGGCATTGCAGTCCAAGACATCTCCAAAGTTAGGGAAGTCTCCCTTAAGGTGTAATCCTTTGCAAGTTTAGACAGGGGAGAAAAGCCTCCAAAAAGCCATTCTGCATAATCACGCCCCTGAAGACCAGCAAGTGAAATGCTGCAGAAGTTCTGGAGGCCAGATCTGCGGAGCATTGTTCTCCGCTGACTAACAAATAGCTGCACGGGCAGCTGGCAGGGAGGGAAAGATTGAAAAATATCCTATTTGCCAGGCATTTGTGGGTCAGAGAAGGACACCAATTAGAGCAAGAGCGTTATAAAATATTGCGCTTTTCTTATTTGTGTGTCGAACAGAAAGACTTAATGGTGACATAAAACCTTAGTGTTATTGTCTTTGTGAAGGGCTGGCTTTGAAACAGCAGCGCTTTGCTTGCTCGTGGCAACGTGCCAGGCCGAGAGCGGGGTCTGGAGCGGCACACAGGGGCGGCTCTCGGCCCTCCGACCGGTGTTGCCCTGACAGGACAGGGGTCCTTTGCCCTGACCTGGGGACCAAGCGGTACGAGGGAGGAGATCGGCGAGGCCTTCCCAGAGGCCGCACCGTCCCCTTCTGGCTGCCCCTTTGCCGTTAGCTCCTCTGCTCCGATTATCCGTTGGATCCTAACATGTTTGCTGTTGCAACACCTTGATTCTTCCACTGTGTTTAGCATTTTGGTCGCCCTTGATCGTTATTCTCGGCTTTTGTGCCGGAGGTCTTCAGCTGGCCTCTTGCTTCCACAGTCCGCCTCCTCACCATTTCAGCTTCACGACCACCCTGCAAGGTAGGCTTGGCCAAGGGCGAATGACTGGCCCGAAGCCACCCAGCAGGCTTCACGGTGGCGGGGACTAGACCCCAGCTCACCCGAGCTCCTGCCCAACACCCCCACTGCTGTGCCGCAGGGTACTGTGTGCCCCGAGGCCCTGCCTGGAGGGATTGTCACGAGAACCCCCCTCCCGCCCATGGCTGCTTCCCGCCTCCGCCCTGCCCCACACAGGGAGGAGTGCAGCGAGGTCAAGCGGCGACGGAGAGGAGCAGCGCCGGCACGGGGCCAAGCCGGGGCAGCGCTTCCGGGAGCTTTCGCAGGCCTGCCCTGTCCGACGCTCCTTCAAGGTCAGCCGCTCGGCGGAGCTGCGAGGGGGGAGCCAGCGGTGCCCCCAGACGAGCACGCAGCGCTGGGGCCGCCGCGTTGGCAGGCGACCTCCCCCCCGCCCCCCGCCCCCCGCCCCCATTCGTGCCTTGTAGGACCCTGAGTGCTGCGTGTGGGATTCCCCAGCAAGCCGTTGGCCTCATTTAAACCACAAGGAGCTCTGCATCGTGGGCCGTGTGTGTGCGCTGCTCTCGCTTAAAGCATAGCGCCATCACGACGAAGGAATCAAGCCGAGCTCGTTTTGACCTCTGCCATTCTCTGGGTCATTCTGGGGGTCTTGGAGGGGGACTTTGGTCTAATGGCACCACTTCCCTGACCCCAAGGGGCACCGAGCAGGAGAAGCCACGGCATCGGGGAGGGGGGCTCAGAATGCCTCCTTTCCAAACCCTTATGGGGGGCCTCTCCCCCACCAAGACCCGAGAGTGGCCTCCCCAGGAGCTGGGGCAGGGGCCTCGGAGAGCGATTACGAGGCCGCGGGCCCGGCGGGAGGTCACTTCCTTTCCCAGGGAGGGACAGGAAACCGCTCCGCCCAGCAACACCCTCCGCATGGAAAAGCCAAGCCGTGGGAGACGCCCCCTGGACATCCGCGCCCCGGTGCCCTGCTTCCCCCTCCCCACGGCAGAGGAAGCGAGACAGGAAGGCGGGGAAGGGTTGCCTCGGCACCTCCCCTTGGAGGGCTCCACGCGAGAAACATGAGCGCAAAACCTTGGGAGCCCCCACGCCCCCCCACGGGGCGGATCCGCTGCTTCTTCACTTCCTTGTGCTCCGCAGACCCCCAAGTCTCAAACAGCAAAAGCCAGGAAGAACAGGGTGCCAGCATACCGTTCTTCACGAGCAGAATACCAGTGAAAGCGCTGCACTGCATGATGGGAACTGGAGTGCATGCCGCTTATTCCCCTGCGGGGTCAGGAGAGTTTGCCCTTTGCGGCGCCGCATCTGCCACGGACGCGGAGCTGCCTCAGCACCGGGAACCGCCAGCTCAGCGCAGCGCAGCGCAGCCCGTGAGGAGACGTCAAGCGGGGCGGGGGGGCAAGGCCTGCTTGGGGCCACCGTGGCCGGGCTCACGGGGCACACGGCGTGCAGCACTTTGTTCTCGGCCCCCACGTCAGGCTTTGGGGAACTTGTCCCGTCTCTGCAGCAGGGACCGGCACCCCTGGCAGCAATTTTCTGGGAACCAGGAGGCTGGGAAAGGCAAACCGGGCCAATGCCCCTTTAAGGCCGCCTAAACTGGAAGCAACCACTGGCACTTCCTGCGGCAGCAAGATGAAGCACGGCCCGTGCTTTGCGGCAAAGGCTCAAGAGGCGATGCCAGCAACATCTCCAGAAGTGCCGGAAAAGTTCGCCCCGCGAGCCGCCGCTGCCGGCCAGTGTCGACCAAACCGGGCCAGTGCAAGTCAGCTCCTTCTGTACATCTCCCACCTACTTCAGTCTGCCTCTCCTAGACGTCGTCCGAGCTGCCTCCAATTCCTAACAGCACGGGTCCTCAAACCGCGCCCATTGATCCGGCCCGCCTCGCTTGTGGGGACATGCGCACGGCGAGGGGGCGGCTTGCTTGCGGGGAGATCGTTTTGGACTCGCTTGGTGAAAACGATCTCCGCGTGAGCAAGCCGCCCCCTCGCCGGCACTGCCTTGGCAGCCCACGCCCACCGCTGGCACCTTTCAACTGGACCTGTTGAAAAAGTCTGAGGACCCCTGCCAAAAGTGCCTAAGGGCGAGGGAGTTCTGCAAAGCAGAAGTCCTTTTCGGAACCTCAGTCGCATGCCTCTTCCAGCGCAATCCTACAGAAGTTTACTCAGAAGCACATCCCACGTGGTGCAACGGGACTTCCTTCCTGGTAAGTGTCCGCAGAGGTGCAATTCTATGTGCATTGAGACAGAAAAAGGCTCAACAGCCAAGATCCCCCAGCCAAGGCTGCTTGGCAGTTCTTTCTGTCCAAGCTTGCATGGAATTATACCTTCCGTTGCCTTCCCCACGCCAGGAAAATTTAAAGGCAGCAAGCCCAGGCACTTTTGCTCATGCAGAAAACCCATGCCTGGTGCAGAGATGTTCTTCTTCCCTCTGTTAATACAGCCCCTGCTTTGGGTCATCCCACAGAGCTAAGTGGTGGGAGATGCAGCAGAGGGAAGCCCTTCTCCATACACCACAGGGCTAAAATGAAGGCATCCGCTGCTGAGTTTTGCGGGATGGCTTTGAAAGGGGCGGAGACAAATTTCACAGCGGAGGCGGCTACCTGTGGCCACCAGCTCGGGCACCTTGCATTGTTTCCGGGATCAGAGGTACCAGGTGGCTCGCTGCGAAAGAGGTGCATGCTGGGGCCAGTAGTGCGTTTCCCACACACACCTCCCAGCCGCCATGCAAACAGAACGCAAGACGGAGCGAACGTTGGCCGTTCTCCCTTCCTGCGCCTTTTCCGGCCCCTTTGCACGGCGCCGGCGTGCAGCCGCAGCAAGCAGCAAGCAACCGAGGGGCACGGCTTACCTTTCCGTGGGTCTTTGGCGTCTCCCGGCCCCTGCCGTCCAGGGAAGGAGGCACTTGGTAGATGCCCTGGCCCAGCCCGGTGGGGGCAGGGGGGACCTGGTAAATGTCCTGCGGGCCGGTCGCAGGCCCGGCCGGCACCTGGTACACGTCCTGGCCCTGCGGGGGGCTCTGCTTCGGGTAGGCGCTGGGCTGCTTCCCCGGGGGAGACTGGAACGGGCCGTGGTGGAGGCTCCCTGGGGACTTGCTGGGGGGGGGCACCAGGTAGACGCCGTCCTCTTGCGGCAGGTAGGAGGGGTGCATGGAGGTGTACTGGGAGGCGGGAGAGAGCGGGGTGTAGCCCGCCTGCGGGGGATACACCGGCGGGGCCTGTCCGACTGGCGGGGGCAGCGGCGGCGGCGGCTGCGGCGAGGGCTGCAGCGAGGGCTGGGGCGGGCCGCCCTGCGCCGGGCCGGGCAGCTGCTTCTTGTCGTACATGCCGACGAGGATCTTGAGGCGGTTGCCGGGGACAATGCCCTGCCGGCCGTGCAGCGAGCACAGCCACCAGCCGTCCAGGCCTTGCGTGTTGCGCTCCAGCACCGTCATGATGTCGCCCTTGCGGAAGGAGAGCTCATCCGGCGACTCGGCCACGTTGTCATACAGCGCCTTGGCCAGCACGTTCTGCAGGGGCGGAAAAGGACACCAGTCAGGAGCGGGCATGTGCACTTCGAGCCTGATCCGGACCTTGGAAGGCGCTCTCCGCGGCACCGGACCCTCCGGGGATGAACTCGGCACTGTGGGGACTGCCGTCCCCTCCAGAGCCTCATCCACGCTTCAGCCATCCAGCCCCACTGGAAAGAACTGAGGGGGCGCTGCAACACCTCTCTGGCCAGGTAGGACGCGGCGGCAACCGTGTTACGCAGACTGTGCCTTAGAAATGGGGGGCAGAAGGGGGCCCTTCTCCCGGCACCTCTGCTGCAGCCGGTTTCCCGGCTTCCAAGGAGGCAATCCTATAAAGCAGGGGTGGGGAACCTCAGAGCAGCAGGCCAAATCTGGCCCTCCGAGGCTCTCTGGATCGCCCCACCCCTTTGCCCACCTACCCATAGCTGGGCGGTATCCCTCCTTCCGTGCAGTTTTTCTACCATTACCTGCCTCTCAAACAGCAACATTTCCAGAAGCGGGAATTTTAAGCTGAAATAGGCTGGCGTTTTAGTCTGGGGCCCCACTGAATCTGCCCACTCTCGGAACGACCCTTTCCACCCCCAGTCCCAAGAGCATCTGCAAAACTGAATTCAGCCCTTGGACTGCGAGAGTTGCTCGCTTCAGCCTTGTTTCCAAAAGCGGCTGGCACTGAGAGTAAGAGGATCCTTCTAGTGCGAGTCCTGCAACTGATTCACTGTCATCAACGTCGCCTTGCATTTATACACTGCCTTACTTCCCCTAGCAAGGAATCCAAAGCAGCTTACAAATTCTCCTCCTCTCCGTTTTATTCTCACAGCAACAACCCTGTGAGGTAGGTTAGACCGAGGGGCAGTGACTGTTCCAAACTCACCCAATGGGCTTCATGACTGAATAGGGACTCGAATCCAAATCTCCGGAGTCCCAGTCCTGCACTGGCTCGCCATTCATAACAGTAATCCATAATTATGTTTTGAATTAATTAATTTTGCCTGATTTCCAAGCAAGCCCTGTTGCCGTTTGCCATTTTTAAAAGGAATTGAAATTAGGGCTGCACTTCTCACTTTGGAGGAGAGAAGTCCTAAAACTGACCTGTTGTGAACCACCCAGAAGCTCTGGCGATTGTGCCATAAATACAGAAATAGGCTTGAGCGTCGCGATTGCAAAGCTCTTGCCAGGCCATTGGCTCTGTGTCTGCGCGTGTAAAACTGGAGGGAGGGGAAGAGACTGAGCAGAGTGTGCCGGAAAAGTACAAGTGGCGTTTGGCACAGGGGCACTGCAACAATTTGTTGCAGTCACCCACCAAAACACGCACGGCATCAAGTGCAGGAAAGGTGCGGCCCTCCCCTTAGGTCGGGCTCCAGTTCCCAGTCATCGCTGGCTGGGATGGCTATGGGCTGATGGGAGGCATCGGCTAGCAGCATCCGGGGGCCTTGGGTTCCCACCCCGCTCAAAAACAGCACACGTGCTGGCACCTTTTCAATCAGAGGCAAGGGCAGAAGAGTCCACCAGCTTCCCGTCACTGCGAACGACCACGAGCAGGCTTGCTTTGGCAAACCCTCAGCCCGGGGATGCAGAATAGCGCAGGTAAGGTCGGTGGGACCCGCTCCCAGGTGGGGGGCCCGGGAGGGGCACAGCGGATCCCCGTCCAAGCCCGGCACCCACCCGCTCCACCCGCCCTTCGCAGCTCATGGCGCACAGACACTGAGGCTGGTTCCACGCTGCTCCTCCGCTGGCGCCCGGCAATGTCTTCCGGAGCCTGCAGAGGGGTGGGGGGCCCCTTGGCCCACGGCTCAGTGGGGAAGAGGTGCTGCCAGAGGGGCAGCCTGACTCGCACCGCGCACAGGGTCCCCGCCTCCTCTCGCAGGCAGGAAGCGCCAGAGCTGTGAGTCAGCCCAAGAAATCCCTGCGGCCTCGCCCAGCGGTGGGACAGCCTCGCTTCTGGAGGCGAGCGAGCGAGTGTCTGAACGGGAGCCCGGAAGGAGCAGGAGTGGAGCGGCGAGGCCTGGCCGGCCCGATGCCCGCGGGTCGCAGCCGCCTGTGGGAAGCCGCACCTGGAACCTTACACACCTGGAGGGCGCCCCGGTTGGGGAAGTCTGTCGCATGCCCGGCCTCCCACCTGTGCCCACAGGGAGGCTTCTCCCTGCTGGGAGCCCCCTGGCTGCGGGAAGGAAAGCCGGACCTCCGCAAGGGCAGCTCCAGGGGTTGGCAGCCCTCGGAGAGACCCCCCCCCCATGGGAATCCCCTTCCTCACCACCGTGGGGTTCTCGTCATGCTGCTGCTTTAGCAATCTAAGCGAGCGTGGGACTGCAGTCAGGATGCGGCCACGAAGCATCTGGCCAGGCCAAGGCAGAGCAAACCCAAGCGCCCCGCTTCCCACGCACACCTTCCTGCCCAGAATTAGACCTAGCCACACGGCCTCAACCGTGCGTGAAGAACGCCGCAGACCACGCCGAGCTGCTTGGGAGGGATGCGTGCGAGCAGCTCGGCCCTCCCCCACCTCTGGCTGTTCGGTTATGTTGGACAACAGCTCCCATCATCCCCAGCCCGCAAGGCCAGTGGTTCCCCCGCTGGAGCAGGCTGCACTGGAGCATGGAGGAGGGAGCACAGCTCCTGTGGAGCCAATATTCCGTACGCTGCATGCACACTCTGGGTTGTGGCATCCGTGCACAACATACCGCAGTAGCGACTGCAGCAGACCTAAGCAACGGCCCCCGAAGACCCCAAATCGACCTGATGCAGACACAAAGCCTGATGCAGCCACTGCTCTCCATATCCCTCCCAATTTCTGAAATTTGGCGGGAATGCTGGCCAACCTCACAGGGTTGTTGTAAAGCAAACTGAACCTGCAACATAAAAGCAAAAGGTGACGCTACTGTCACTCATGGGGAGGAGAGAGCATGGAAGGCAGTGCCTGCTTGTTAAAAATACAGTGTGGACTTTGCTTTGGGCTTTGGTGCCCATATAAACTGAACATTGCGTGTGCTGGCTGGGGCTTATGGAAGTTGTAGTCCAAAATATCTGAAGGACAACCATACATGCAACCTGGTGAGGACTGGAGAATTATGGACACATGGGAAGTGATCCTTTGTGGATATGGGGGCAGGGGTGGCGAAGAAAAAATCAGATGAGAGAGTTGCCCGCTGCTTAACAGTGCGGAAGCTGGTCAAGAGCTATAAAAGGGGCTGCAGAAAGATTTGGCCCACCGGATCTGAACCTAAGCCTTTCCAAACCACGCAGGCGAGCAAGTTAATCGGCAGAGAACTCTTTAATGAAACGTGCATCCTTTTTTTTCCAGTGTGGGAAAACCAAGGTTCATTTCATGTTGAGGCAGGCGGAGACTTTCACTTCAGTATATCTGGCAGGGGCACCAGGTTGCGGACGGCTGACATAAAACGCCATTTGTGGTTAAGAATCCACAGGGAAATGCTGGGCCTTTTACATTTTCAGAAGCCTTCCAGACAGGATTCCCAATGCGGCCAATCGAGGAGCAATGCGCAAAGGTTCTGCTGGTCCTTAGTGGATTTTCAGTGGTTAAAAAAGGGAATGAGAAGCAGATGTGGGAAAAGACAGGAGGGATCCAGATGGGAAATGACAACATGTAGGCCAGAGATGTGAAGGCCTGGGAAAAAATGGGGCCAGGGAAGAAAGTTTTTTTTTTTTTAAGGCATACTTTCCCCCCGGGATTCTTGGAAAAATTGCAAACGAACAGCAAAACCAGGGTTCCTCCCACTCAGATTGTCCACTTCCTACCCCCTTCCCTTCCCATTTCTAATCTGGACTCCCTATAAAATTCTATGTACACGACAGGGAAGTTACATAATAAAGGTCATGCCCAAAAATGCTGTTTGAAATGTAATTCACCTTTCCCTCCCCCATTTTTAATACCTTGCTGATTTGTAAGCTCAAAAGTGTAAAACTAATACCCACAGCGCATGCCTTTCTTTGGCAAGCGAAAACCCGCCTGTGGCCTTGGAGCCACAGGGCCATACGGTGCCACATCATAAATCCGCACAGGAACAAATGCAAGACGTGAAGCCATGCGGATCGCGGCGGCCTGCTTTGCCGTGTGCGCCAGAGCACGGGGCACGCACAGAAAAGGCTCCCTGCAAAATAACATCCCAGGAAAACCCCTGAGGACTAAAATCCTCGATTTAGAAGCCCGATGGAAAGGGAGGTGCTGGGCCAGCAAGCTTTGTGCAACGACTCCTCCCTCGCTGGCTTGATAACAGCGGGCAGATTGTGATATTCAAACACAATCTGGGCACACCCCCGAGCCCTACCTGGCATGTCCATCATCCACACCGTCACTCCCCTGCTCCAGGAACTGCTCTGGCTGCCACCCCAGGGACCTTTGCTTGAGGCTTTGATATTAGCATTCTGTGTCCTAAATTCTCAGGAGCTGGGCACCTGAGAATTTGATTCCAACAACGCTGTTTTATTGTTTCTTTTTATTGCTGTTATTAATATCAGTACCAATATTATCCTCATCTTTGTGGAGCACGCTTGGCCCTTACGGAGAAATGTTTGGGGAATTTTCCTTCATGCAAACAACTCCGGACGTCTGAAAACCTGGGGGGGCTGCCGAGAATCCAAATCCCTCCTCTTGCTTCCCAGTGGCTTGGGTTTGGACTCCGGCCCTGGTGGTGCTGAGGCCGTGAAGAGCGAGGCAGCGACCCAGCCCTGCTCCCAGAGATGCTCTCAAGTGGGGGCATCAACCCCGGGACGTTCTGCACGCAAAGTGCACGCCGGTCACACAGCGTCCCGTGCGCTGGGGGCATGCACACGAACGGCATACCCATTCATAGCATCTGCTGACTCATAACTGCCTACCCCTGCACAGGATGGAAAAGCCCAGGCAGCTCCCTCGGAGGAGTAGCCGAGATGCAAAGGACACGGGGAAGAAAGACCCACTTCTCTTTTTCACGTTCCCTGCAAAGGCCTTTTGCAGGCTAAACAAAGAACCTAAATGCATTTCTCTTTGTGCAATTAATGCAACTTAA